TCCCCCGTTCATGCTCTGTCTCTCTCTGTCCCAAAAATAAATAAAACGTTGAAAAAAAATTAAAAAAAAATGCATTCTAAATGTATAAATAGGGGCACCTGGGTGGCTCAGTTGGTTGTGCGTCCGACTTCAGCTCAGGTCATGATCTCACAGTCTGTGAGTTCGAGCCCTGCATCGGGCTCTGTGCTAACAGCTCAGAGCCTGGAGCCTGCGTCAGATTCTGTGTCTCCCTCTCTCTATGCCCCTCCCCTGCTCATGCTCTGTCTCAAAAATAAATAAAAACATTAAAAAAAATTAAAAAAAATAAATGTATAAATAAATATCCTAGTCTTGTCTCAGTTACTTCGCCAACAGAGTAAATGAGTAGTGAGCTGAGATGGTACCTGTCTTAGTTGGTGGAAAACAGAATAGAAATGGGAATTAAGAGTTGCTTTGTTCTGTTTTGTGTGTTTTTGCTTTTAGTAGGAGAGATCCAACAAACAACCCAAATGGTAATAATAGAAAGGGAAGGAACTGAAAAACAAAGTCACTTTTATACTGAAAAATATACGCTAGGAGACAAGGACAAATGAAAATATTGATTTAATCTCCAAAGCAGGCTATGGGCAATTTTATTCCTGCATTTCTGTTATTTTGATATGGAATGTATTCCTTTTTTAAAACATGTTCTAATGCAATGCTCAGGGGAAAATTACTTTTGGAGTCTATACAATGGATACATTTTTAACCCACTCCATCTTAGTTAGAAATTATAGCGTACCTGTTGGCTGGCTCTGACATTTTTACTGGAATTATTAGAGAAAGACAGATTGAGTCACACTGTGTACTAACAACTGAGAAGAAACACCAGGACTGTTTTAAAAAAAAGCAAAACTTTTAAGCCACTATGTAAGCATCAAATGATTCCACATGGCAGAAGAGATGGATGGAAATAGGGCTGCGCTTAAACCACAGAGAAAGGCAGCTGGCACTGGTTCTCCTTTTCATGAAAAGGAAAATGGGGGCACATTCCACAATTGTCATGAGTACAGTATAAGAAATGAAGCAAATGTGGGGGACCTGGGTGGCTCAGTCGGTTAAGCGTCCGACTTCGGCT